CCGCCACTCCAGCCGATAGCCTCGGGCCTCCGGCACCAGTTTCCAGGACAGCAGGATGGACGTGGGTCCCAGAATGACCGGATACAGAGTCTGCTCGATGGAGGTGTCTGCCCAGAGCACATGGGGCGTCGGTTACCGGCCCCGCCCCCACCCCGCCTAATGAAAGTCCTTGGCCTTGTATCTCACCGGTGCGGGCAGTGAGGGTGGTGGCAGGCCCCACTGTGCGGCCAAGCAGTGCGCTCACGGTCACCTCATACTCTGTGCCAGGCTTCAGGCCCCTCAGCAACACTGACCGCTGCCCCCCACTCAGCTCCTGGTGCTCGGCAGCCCCACCTGGGAGGCCGTGGGGGGATACAACAAGGTCAGTGGGTCTTGTAGGCTCACGACTCTACAATCCAATCCTGTCTGAGGCCCAGAGCCCCCTGCCCCCAGCGGACACAAGTCACTCACCGCTAAGGTCCCGCCAGCTCACTCGGTAGCCAGTGGCACCCGGGACAGGCCCCCAGGCCACCAGGAGGCTGTGGGTTGTGGTGTTCTGGATGGTCAGCTGCGGCCCCTCCAGGGCAGCTGGGGGAAGGTCCCATCAGAGATGAGGGGTGGGGAGTGGGAAAGGACACGGGTAGGTAGCTGGGAGAGTGGGGTTAGAGGGGGCAGCATTGCTCACTGGTCCGAGCTGTCATGCTCACGGCCTCCCCAATGCTGTTGGCGTAGAGAGCAACCACGGTGACCTGGTATTCGGTCTGCGGCCGGAGGCCCTGTAGCCGGATGCTGGTCTCATCTGCTGGGACGCTCACCTGGGCCAGGATCAGAGGTCACCTCATCTTCCCCAGCCAAGTTCTCAGCCTCCGGCTCCCCACTTCTTCCCATCCTTACCTCTCGCCGCTCGCCCGGCAATGGCTGCCCCAGTCCGGTCAAAGGAGCGTACTGGACCTTGTAGCCAGTCACAGGGCCGCTGGCCACCGTCCACTGTACTCGGAGAAATTGACTGCCCGCCTCCAACAGCACCAGTTCCCGTGGGCCAGAGGGCACGTCATCAGCTAGAAGTGGAGGGAATTGTGGGGTACCGAGTCAGGAGGGTCAAAGGTCGGCCCTGGTGGGGAGCACAGTGGTGTGGGCTTGGCACTTCTCGGTCTGGGTCAGGAGACAGCGTGGTGGGGGTCAAGGACCAGGAGCTGTAGGGGTAGAGTTGGCACTGCCAGGGCAGGGTTGGGGTCAGGGGTCAGGGGCCTGTGGGGGCGGGAACTCACAAGGCAGGGTCACAGGCACACCGCCCGCCGTCGTGCAGACACGACGGGAGACAAGGGGCAGCAAGGTCCTTAAGATGCTGAAGTCATTGACGAAGAAGAAGAAATCGCTGGTGGGCTGGGAGGCAACCCGCTTCAGCTCCTCCGGATCGGCGTTCTTGATCCCTGAAGTGATGCCCACCGAAAGTCAGCGGCCACATGCCCTCTGACTGATCCTTGTCCCAGCTGACCCAGCCCCCCAGCTTGATGCTCACCGACAGCAAACAGCTTGACGCCCTGCCCCTTCAGCCTCTGGGCCGCGGTGTCCACCAGGTCCTGGGACTTCCCATCTGTGATGAGGATGCAGACCTGGGGCAGGAGCAAGGGTCCGGTCAGGGCAGCCTCGGACACTTGATCTGAGGCGCCTGGGGAAGCCTGGGGAGTGGGTGGGTGGGGGGGGAGTCACCTTGGAGACGCCGGGCCGAGCCAGCTGGGGCAGGAAGATGTGGTCGGCCACATGGAGGATCGCGGCTCCAGTGCGGGTGTTGCCCCCCTTGTAAGAGAGCTCACGGATAGCCCGTATTGTATCCGCCCCCGAGCTGAACGCGTCCAGGCCAAACTCTGTCCTGTGGGGTTGGGCAGTGGCAAGAATTCAGGAGTCAGGCTCGCTCTATGCCCTGCCTCTAAGAAACTTCCACAGGAGTCATGGGCACCAGACTCCCTTGGGAGTCTTCTTGGTTCTGTGGTGTCTGATCTTCGCCCCCTCCCAGCCCCCCACCCATTAAAAGAGCCTCTAGCCTAGCCTACCTCTAGCCCTAAGTTAACAGGTGCCCTTAAGGACCCTGCCTTGGCCCAGGCAGGCCTGGAGCTCTTTGGATCTGACAGCCTGAGGGTGGGGGGTGGGGGCCGGAAGGATAGCTAGAGCAGGACAAAAAGGCCCTCTGGGCCATGGAGGGGCTCAAGTGGCCAGAAGGTTGGCACATGGGATGTCCAGCAGCATTGGGGGTCCCCACCTGGAGATCAGTAAACATAGCCCTACCTTTGCGAGCCTACAAGCCTGGGGAAGTGTCTCAAGGAGACAGGGGTGACCCCTGCCTCTCTCTACCACAGAAGGTCCTCCCTGGGGGGCAGTCTCTGCGCTCCCCAAATCCTATCCTGGGAGTGGCCTGACTTGGGGGTTTCTGGGCTTCCATCCTCTGTCCCGGGAAAGGGTTGTGGTGGGCCCCCACTCACTGTGGGTCATCACTGTACTGCACGACTGCAAAGCGCACGCCCTGCGCGCCCGCAGCCCCAGAGAACGGCAGCACCAGGCCCTCCAGGAAGCCCCGGATCTCTCGGAAGTTGCTGCGGCCGATGGACGAGGAGCCATCGAGAAGGAACACGATGTCAGCCGAGTACAGACGCGTGCAGGTCACTGGGGCAGGGAGGGGTGGTCTCAACATCTCCTTGGAGCCTGTGACCTCCCTCCCCGCACTGGGGTCTTTGGGGGCGGGGGTGGAGATGGCTGCACCCGTTTATGTGAATGGGGCCCGACGGCCTGGGCGGACGACGCGGTGGGGGTGCTGCGCGCGGAGGTTGGGTGCATGCGGGGTCAGGAACCGGTCGCGGGTGAATCTGGGCGCCCGTGCGGGTTTAGGAGAGGCCGGCGCACGGCGGCCGGGGGCTAGGGGACTCGGAACACCTTTGCAGGGCCAGCATTGGGGACGAGCGGCGGGGGATGGGGTTTGGTGGGGTGGGGAGGTAGCAGTTTGAGCGACCCGGCGCGTTGGCAGGAGGGTTTGGGAAGTTCGGGGCGATTTGGGGAGGAATTCATGCGGGTCTCCTCGTAGGTGGTAGGGCCCAAGATGGAGGGTGACGGAGCCACGGGTGACAGGGTGCAGTGCCCCGGGCGGGGTCCTTCCTGCGCCGCGCGCACCTCTCTCCCGGTTCTGGGCCCGCACCCTGGGCGCCCCTGCCAGCACCCAGGAGCAGAGCGCGGCCACCAGGAGTCGCAGCCGCATCCTGGGGAGGAAAATGGTCAGCCAACTAGGACCCTCACGCTGCCCCTCGCCCCCCGCGGCCTCGACGAGTCCGAACCCGATGACCACGCTACCCCCACCCTCGGTCTGCTGCCCAGCCCGGCCTTGCCTGAGCGTCCGCCCGCTCTCGCCGCCGCCGCAGCCGTCCAGCCTGCACTGGGCAGAAAAGTCCCGATCCCGGGGGGCGGAGCGGCGGGCGGGGACCCCGGCAGCCCGCCCCCACCCATCCCGGCTAGTCCCCTCCCCCACCCCCCTCTAGGGCCAGCCGTTCTGACTCTAGTTAAGTGTAAAGCCCCCCCCCTCTCCCCCCGCAGATGGCCCTTGGGAGTCCCCTCCAGAGCTGATGCCCAAGGGAGCCTTCCCAGCTCTGCAGTGCCACAGGTCTGAGTTGCTTTGGGTCAATCCGAGTGACCAGTGACAGGCCTGCTAGGGACTGGGATGCAGACAAGTTCCTGGAAACTGAGGGGGCAGTGGCAGAGGGGGGGCCACAGCTGGCGATGACTCACCCCCACCCAGTGGGGGAGCCCAGACAAGCCCTCTGGCCATTGTCCTGTTGCAGACATTCCCTTGATCCAAACACCCCCCATCAGTCTAGTCTGTTAGGTCTCCTATGCCCCACCCACCCCCTTACCAGCCGTTACAGCCCTGACAATTGAGGGGCTCTGGGAGTATGCTAGGGAGACCCAGGCCCCAGGTAATGCCCTCCTGACCCCACCCGACCCCCACTTGGTGGGGGTAGCCAGAAGGAAATGAGAGCCTGGGTTACTTTATACACACATGCACACTTGTGTGCCTTGAGCTGCCAGCCAGCTGTGGGGAGAGGGGGCTGCCCAGATGTGGAGGGAGGGATCACCCACGGTGTGACAACTCATCCCTCAGGAATCTCCAGACCTCCTGCCCACACCCACACCCACTCGGGTGGGCTGCCCTCACCCCAGGTCGACTACCCCTGGAACTACACAGCCTCAACCTGCCCAGATTCGCTTTCTTGAATGACGCTTTTTTTTTGTTTTTGTGATGCTTCTTAAATACCCCCTTCCTCCCATAACCCCCACCAGGCATAGGGTCCCCCTGGGCCCCTCCCTCCTTCCCTACCTTCTTATACCCTGATAGTCCTGCGACCCAGAGCTTCAGACCTGTCCCTGCCCACTCCTCCTTACCCAGTATGACTACCCATATCCCTTCCGATTGCCTTCTGTGACTGCATAGTTACCCCAGTGGACCCCCACTCACACACCCAAGTTCATGGACAATGTCTTAAGGATTCGAGTCAGAGACACTTCTAGAAAGCGCAGGTCTCCAACTGGCCCTGCCGAGTTATTGTCCCTCCAGTTCTGGGCAGGCCAGAAAGCACACCAACACGCACCACTACCACCTGCCCCTTCTGACATGGGACCTACAGCTAGTGGGCAGGACAGGGATGGTGTTTCTATTGAACTCAGGCCTGATGGCTGTCTGGATGGCCAAAGCAAGGGTCAGGGTGGGGGGCAGCAAGAGCATCCATACTGCCCAGGGACAGCCCCTATTACTCCACATTTAAGAGTACCAGATAGACTGCTTATCTAGGCAGCCGTCCTGCTGTCTGCCCACAGGCTCTCTTCCTGGGTCAGCAACCTCTACTCTGCTCAGCCAGTCTTGCTCCTGCCAACTGCCCACATCGCATCTTCCAGAGCCTCCGACAGGTCTGCCCTGCTTGGCTTTCAAGGTGCACCCAGCTGGATCACCGACAGTGCGGTACATGCATGCCTGCCCCCTTAGGCCTGCAGCAGACCTGGGCTACACGAGAAATCGGGTACTGATCCCCAGGGGCCTGGACAGTTAGTTCTCCTGCCTGGACCTGGCGAACACCATCTACTTATCCTCCCCAACTACTGGTCAGCACCAAGGTGCAGGCTGCCTGGGCTCTGCCCTGTCCAGCAGTGTCTCTCGGGCTGGCCAGATAGGTGGTACCCAGCAGCTCCTGACCTCTAGAGGCAGTGGACACAGGTCTCCGGCTTCCTTTGTGACAGTAGATGGGAGTCCCTTGTGGTACACTCGTCACCCCCTTGGCTACAGACAGAAAGGCTGGAGGCTTGTGCCCACCCAGAGGCCTTCCAAGAAAGGTGCATCCATCCACCTCCAGACACTACACGTGGTGTCACTTCGAGGGGGATGATAGGTAATGGGGCAGCGGGCTTGATGCAAGGGCTGCTTCCAGGGTGAGTGCTGGGGAGGGAGGGGGGCGTCTTCTGAATGGATCCTCCTCTTGGTCTCCTGCCAACTTCTTTACACAGGAAAATGGAGGTCCCCCTCCCCGCCCCTTCCATCTCCCATGGGTTCCCAGACAGCCTGATGGAAGCACTTGGGGTATAGGGCCTACCTGTCCACCTGCCTTGGGAAGTGGGAGATGGCAGGGGGACTAGAGAGCAGAAGCTCCACCAGGTTCAGGCCACCTCCAGGAGGTAGGGCGGGGCTTGTGCGGCCAGCAGCCCAGGACTTGCCTGGGACCGACGGAGCGGAGGGAGGGGGCTTGGGCCCCATTGAGCTCAGGACTATTCTTGGAGCCTGAGTCAGCCGCAAAGGGAGGCAAAAGATTCTTGCCCTGCCTGTCCAGGCAACAGTTAGAAACCAAAAGGGAACAGTGCCCCAGGCTACCCTCCTCCAGAATCCAGAGTAAACACACTGAAGAGGCTTCCTCTAAGACAGCCCAGTCCCTGTGGGCCACCCCAGGGGACCAGGGCCTCCAGAGGACAGCGCTACAGGCTCTAACACGAGGGGCTTCCGACCAGAGCCCCCTGACACCTGAGTTCCCAGGGAGGGACTCCCCTCAGAACAGAGGCTGTCTACAGCCCCTACACTCGGGGATAGGCTGGCTGAGGAACATCCCCCATGTGGCTGAGTGGTAACATCTGGACTCGGCTCCCCACAGCCATCAAAGGCTTCCGGCCGCCCTGCTGCGTGCGGCCTCCCTGCTGCGTGCAGACCCCCGCCTGCCCCTGGCTGAGGCCACATCAGCCTGTGGAAAGGCACCGTGAGTCAGAGGACAAGGACCTGTGGGGAATGTCCCTGCCTGCCAACAGGATCCCAGGCCAAGAAAAGGACAGCACAGTTCTCCACACTGAACTTTATTGGGGGCCACGTGTGCGACGTGGCGGCTTCTCCCGAGGGGCCCAGGAACCAGAGTGGGCCGTCTACGGTGGGAGCACGAGACCCAGCCCCGCCTTCTCTCTCGCACAGGCACCCCGCCTAGAAGCGCAGCCAGAACATGCCGCTACGGATCCGGTTGTAGTCTGGGAGCTGCTCGATGGGGCCTGTGGGGTAGGGTGGGGTGTCAGGGTGGGGTGCCTGGCCTGTAAAGGGACACCTGGCCGAGTGCCACCCCGACTCGGAGCTGCCCAGAGCTGCATGGGACAGGCTTTGAATGGCGAGGAGGAAGAGAACATTCCTTCGGGGGTGCTGAGCCTGTCGCTTCACGTCTGGGGCCCCGAGCAGGGGTGCCCGTTACCTGGCGGGTGTGGGGCACCGATGGAGGCATGTTGGCAGGGAGTCTGGGAGCTGCTGGGGCAGGTTTGCCGAGCAAGAACTCACTCCCTGGAGCCAGGCCCCACCTTGCTGTTCCCAGTGCCGGCTACTGGGCCCCGGGCAGCAGAGGACAGGCGGATAGAGGCAGAAGGAACGGCCAGGAGAACGGATCGAGGAGGACACTCACCCAGCCCAGCCACCGCTGGACACTGGTCGTAGAAGTACTTGGAGCAGACCTCACGCACTACACTGGAATCCACCTCCTGCAGGGGAAGCGGAGGGCGCTCACCCACACAGGTCCCGGTGGGTCACCTCGGCTGTGAGCTCTGCCCCCACCCCCACAGGGGAAAGGCGGCAATGTCCTCCCCTCTGAAGGAAACCACAGCCCAGGCACCAGCCCCCACCTCCACCCCCTGCCAGGCCCAACCTCCCGAACCTCCCCCAGGGGGGCCAGTCACCGAAATCCGGCTCTCCCACTCAGCCAGGGGGATTCGGCGGCCATAGGTCAGGAGGCTGCGTCCGATATCTTCACACACAGGGGTGGTGCCTGGGGCAGGGGAGGGGGCTTACAGCCTGCTGGGTCCAACCCTGGGCCACAGGTCTCACAACAGCCCCTGCTCACAGGCACCCCTCTTCCAGCTGTTTCTGAAACCTTTCAAGCCCCAGGGGGATGGTTCTGAGGCCACTGCCCACTGTCACCCTTTCCATCCTAGTGCAGGAAGGCTCCCACTGGGTCACTACCACCCACCTCCCCCAGGGCTCACCGTCCAGATGAGCCACCAAGGCGTTCCTCAGGGTGTTCTTGCCCCGGGTCACCTCGCTCTCGGTGGCACTGGTACACAGGCGCATCCTACAGCGGGATGGGCAGGGGTGCGATCTGAGAGACTGGGTCTTGGGCCCCGCCCCTCCACACCAGCCTGGGCAGACACTCACCACTGGCCTTGCAGGAAGAACACCATGTCATCGATGCTCATCTTGTCGCAGACAAAGTGCGCTCCCAGCAGCCCGGTTTCCTCGTAGCAGATGTTGAAGGTCTGGAAGCTCTGGCACAGCTTGTTGGTGACAGCCACTGACGCCAGCGGGCTAGACAGGTGCTGCCAGGGCCACCAGGGTCAGCGCCACCCTCCCCTCAAGCACTCCCTCCTCCCTGGCGGCAGGGGCCTCAGCAGCACTCACCTTGCCCCCACCGTAGGTGCAGTCGTAGTGGCCGATGATGGCATTGGCCACGTGGAGGGCCACGTTGTCCGGGTTGGCCCACCCAGGTCCCTCCACTGCAATGGCCACATGGGCCAGGGGCATATCATCGTCACGGTGGCGGATCTGAAAAGGTATGTAGCCAGGGCAGGGGGGGTGGGTAGTCAGAGCACGCAGGGGCCCAGGAGGGGCATGGGCCTAGTGTTGGCGTGCATGTGTGACCAACCAGCTGTGCCTCCAGGCAGTGGCCACAGATCCCCGCTCTGCTCTAAGGGTGTCTCTGGAGGTAACGTGGCAGACAGCACACTGCCCCCCTACCCCCATGGGGGGCCCTCCCACCCAGCAGCCCACCTCACTGCCTGTGAAGCGGCAAGGCTGCAGGGATGGCACGGCGTCCTCCTTGTAGGCCACCGAGACGCTGCTGAGATGCTTCTGGGCGAGGTCCAGCAGTTGGCGGTGCTCCAGCCCTGCGAGAGCAACTGGTCACTGCACAGCCAGCCCATCTGAGGACCGGGTGAGGGACGGAGACCCTCCACCAGCAGACCCCACTTTGTGGGCAAAACAGGTAGCTCTGGGGCACATGAGGGAGCAGCACATGGAAGCTTCAGTCAAGTGCCCCCTCTCAGCCTGAAGGAGACTGCCTTACCTCCACCAGGGGCGAGATGGATGCCGGCCCCCACAGGCACAAGGATGCCCACCCTGCCCCTCTAGCTGCCTGCTGCCTCTCGGCGGTGGGGGGCATTTATAAGTCCCACTTTAAACCCAGGCCCTCAGGGTCCCTCACAGGATGCTGCTTCCTCACCACCCTGACTGGAGTGCAGCAGGCCTTTGAGTGTGTCCGCCAGTGCTCATGGCAGTGTCTGGAACTGCTCTTGGCTCTCAGGACTCCCGGCCCACTCTTAATCAGTCTTCTTCACCCACCCTGCTGCTGCCAAGATCCCGGGCTACAGAAGCACCCTTGACCCGACTCCCCACCCACCAGGGCCAGGCTCCAACTATAAAGCCATTTCAAGTGCATCCGCTTCTCCCCCTGCCCAGACACCCTTGCCTCACAGACCTAGCAACTCACACTAGCCTTCCAGCCTCGGACCAGGCATGCTTCACCCACCCCCAACTCCCAGTAAGTCCCCCTGTCAGGGCACTGCCCCCCTGCTCCCAAGGGTGTACCACCACATGGCAGCTGGAGGCTCTCCTGGGGCCAGGTGGCCTGGAGAAGCTCTGAGGTCCAGGCAGAATTTAGTAGCCCAAATGAGGCCCATCCTAGGGGTGTTGGCCGAGTGGAACCCTGCCTCACCTAGAGTAAGCCTCAGAGACAGGGTGGGAACAGGGTCCCCAGAAGTACAAGGGGGGCCCCAGCAATCAAAACCCACACCCACTCTCCCACCTCCAGCCGCAGCCAGCACCATCCGAGGGGCCTTGTAATGCCTGTTGAGGTACTCTGTCAGGTCTGCCCGCGACAGCTTCCTGCAAGACATGCGCCCGTGAGCTGACACCTCTCCCACGCCAAAGCCAGTTCAAAGTAGAGCCTCCCCTAAAGGGCTGGGGGCAGAGGAGGGGAGGCAGGCTTCTCTGGAGAGCAGGCTGTACCCTGCCACTCTCGACCCCCTCCCGGCCCACTCCCCTACCTTGTAAAGGGAACAAGAAGCCGTGTGAGGAGGGCACCCAGGGGCCCACACCTAGACTGTCAGAGCATACCACAAAACAAGACCCCCAACGTAAGTGAGCACCGCAGTCATCAAAATGGATGTTCAGGGAGCACACAGCAACACGCATTCGTGCAGTAAACAAATACAACACGCAGGCCCCGGCCCGGCACCCACACCCGTGGGGAGACATTGCCCAGAAGGGGGGGGGTGCTGCCGGCGGGTCCATGGACCCTCACCTGACGTTCTCACTGGGCCCCTCCACAGCCTGGGCCAGGGGCGTGCCCTGGAAGGCCGTGGCGTGCAGGTAGTCGAAGACCACATCCCTCGGGGACCCGTCATTCTCCTGTAGCTCCCGCAGGATCACATCACGCTCCTTTTCGATCTGCGAGTCTTCCAGGCTGCAGTTCTGTACGATGTCAGCCAGGAGCTCCACGGCTAGACACAGAGGGACGCGTCTGGGCGGGGGCCAGGGTCAGGCCAACAGGACCAGTGACAGTATCTCCACCGCTACGGGGCCATAACCCTACGGGTCCCAGGACTGAGGCCAAGCCGGGGCTCCAGGCTGTCTGTCATCTGCTCCCCAGAGCCCTTCCCCTAGCTGCCTGCACCACACACAGCCTCCAAGCGGCTACCTTTCGGCAGGTCCTTTGACAGCGCCTTGATGTAGTACGCCGTGTGCTCCCGAGTGCTGTAGGCGTTGAGATGGGCCCCCATGCTCTCCACCTCCTTCTCCAGAGCACTGCCTGGCCGATTCTTTGTTCCCTGGAAGCACACATCAACGGGACCCATCAGGCACCCCACCGAAGCAGCCCACCCTCTCCAAGAAGGACTACTGATCTGTAGGTCCCCTCCTGCCCTGAGCCACACGGATTCACGAGTTAGGAAGTGCAGAGGCTGCGCTCACCAAGTGCTAGGCGGGCCTTGCACGGACTGAGGCCACAGCGTTATGGGCACAGGCTGAGCCATAAGTCAGGACCCAAGGCCATGGCCACATCAGCTGCTACTGGGAAGCCCAGCATTCCTGACAGCCTGGCTCTGCTGGGGGGCCCTCCTTTCACTGACAGCTGGAATCAGGTAAGCTCACATTGGTGTTTCAGTGAGTCATGTGACTGTGTGCGCTAGCTCCCCCTCCACCACTGTCCCAGATGCACGGGTCCCTGTGAGAAAAGCCTTCCCCACAGCTCATCCTCCATCCTTTCATGTGTTTAAAATCCTTCAGTCTCTACTCTGTCAAGCAGCAGTTGGCTGAAGGACTGCCGTGGTGACAATCGCCACCTCCAGAAAAGCTCAGCACTCACTTCCATGGGCGAGAGATGCCCTGGACGCAGGACACTGCACACGCAGGAGTGCCGCACCCAGGCCTGGCAGAGCCTGTCATCCTGAGGCCCCTGTGGCTCCCTGGGAATCAGGTGATGGGGCTCACCCAAAAGGTACTCACTCAGGAAAGACTAAGCCCATCTGACTCCTTCCAGAAAGACCATTAAGAGTTTACCCTTCCCAGCTGGGACCCAGAATTGAGAGGGCTGACTCTTCTGGCCTGTGTCCTCCAGAGAAACAACAGGCAATCCCCAGCCCGGGGGAGAGAGAGGTCTTCCAGAAGTCTCACCTTGAAAGCCAGGTGCTCCAGAAAGTAGCCTGCTCCATTGTTCTGGTTGTTCTCATAACGGCTGCCAGCATCAATCCACACTCCCACCTAGACAAGAAGCCCCCAGTGAAGGTAAGTCATCCCGGCCTCCAACTTAGGGGCTCATGGGTCCTGGGGTAGGGGGCTGCTCAGGCAGGACCCCTGAGCTCAGAGGGGCAGCAGTGCCCTGGGCAGAGTACTGGCTAAATGACTAGCCACACCATCACCTCTCCTGCCTCCCTTACTTCCTGACTGGAAATGTAAGATGCTTACATCCAGTCTCTCGGTTGACTCTTTAGACTTTTCTATGCATGTAGCATTTCTTATAAACAATTTATTTTTCTCCTCACCAAAAAGTTTACCTTGCTTTGGGTTTTCTCCTTTCGTCGTTAAGAAGCTACTAATGCAGATGTTGTAGAGCGTGGTTGTCAACCTTCCTCATGCCTCAACCCTTTCACACAGTTCCTCATGTAGTGGTGACCCCCAACCATGACATTATTTTCGTTGCTACTTGATAACTGTCATTTTGCTACCATTGTGAATCGGGCGACCTTTATGAAAGTGTCGTTCAGGAGAGTGGGTAGGAAAGAGGGAACCGATTACAAGGGACTATATGTGACCTCCTCCTTGGGGGACAGACAGTGGAGAGGGGGGTGAAGGGAGACATCGGACAGGGCAAGATATGACAAAATACCCATTTATAAACTATCAAGGGCTCATGAGGGAGCGGGGAGTGGGGAGGGAGGGGAAAAATGAGGACCTAATGTCGGGGGTTTAAGTGGAGGGAAAATGTTTTGAGAATGAAGTACACATGCGCTTTACACAATTGATGTGTGTATGGATTGTGATGGCAGTTGTATGAGCCCCTAATAAAATGTTTAAAAAAAAAAAGAAAGGGTCGTTCGACTCCCAAAGGGGTCACGACCCACAGCTTGGAAACCGCGGTTGTATAGTTTATCACATCCCTTGCATATTTTCAAAGTTTTTCATGGACACTGAAGATTACCCGTATGTTTATGGTGTGAAGATTGCCCATATGTTTATGGTGGGCACCCAGTGAGAATCCTCTGGCCCACAGAGTCACCAGGGCCTGGTCTTTAATTGTTTGGTCATTGTGAAATAAGTCTCCCCATCTACTTTCCTGTGAAGTGTCTGTTTAAATGTTATGTTGCAGAGTCATAGAAGAACAGCTGGGTCGGGCCTCACACGCTGGGAAGCAAGATGCCTTTCTGTGGTGTCTACAATTAGCAGCACAGTTTCTCTAGCAGTGGACCAAATGGTGCTCTGTAGAATCTATATCAGTGGCTCTCAACCGTCCTTACGCCACGACCCTTTCATACAGTTCCTCATGTTGTCGTGACCCCCCCAACCATAATAAAATTACTTTCGTTGCTACTTCCTGTCATTTTGCTACCGTTACGAATCGGGCGACCCCTGTGAAAAGGCTGTTCGACCCCCAAAAGGGCTGAGACCCACAGGTTGAGAACTGCTGATCTAGAGCATCCATCATTCCATGTGTGAGAGGTAGCATTCTTTCCTGAGTCTAACAGTCTTTGGATTGGTTTACGATGGTGCAGTGCTGCCCAAAGAGGAAGCTGCCTACTGCCTTGTCCTTACAGCGTATTATTTGTTCCTAGAAAACAGACAGATTCTGTCACTTGGCCCTGGAGCTTCTTGGGGCCAGGATTAATTTGGGGGAGACCCCTGACCACTTCATATGTCCATTAAAGATTTGTAGCCTTGAGTGCATTTTGGAGACGTGTACTCTTTGAAACGCTATTCATTTCACTGAAATCCCCAGCTGCCTCTCTTCAGCAGGTGTGTTCCTGGTCTGGCCTGGAGGTCATGTATGACCTTGACACCTGGCCTCTTGAACGACACTTACCGGTAGCTTCTCTGAACCCCATTTTCCTCTCTGTAAAAAGAGCATCTTCAGAAGAAGCCGGATCGCTTCTCGGCCTTATGGCTAGGATCAAGTGTCGTATCTGTTCTTATCAGCTTGCTATCTGCTACGTTCTCTATCTGAGGACAATATATTGAGTGCATTTTTGCGAGCAGGGGTTTTAGCTTGCTCTGTCCACTCCACACACCAACCTGGCATCGCAGTACTTCCAGGAATGGTGCAATCCCTTAGGGGGTTTTAAAATATATATATACAGAAACCGCACAAGAAAACTGGGTCTCCTGTTGCGGGTGCAGGGGGCTGGGACTGAAAGTGCGGGGTCAGAATGGCCCCAAGAAGTCATGGTGTGTATGGGTTGGGATTAAGATGTAAGGGGCAAATACAGCGTCGAGAAAGCCTTTGAATCCAAGAGGCAGATGGGGGGATTTGAGCTGGGAAGGAACTCGAAGCCTTCCCCCAGGCAGCGCCCCGACTCACCGTGCAGGTCGGCTGGGTGGACTGCTCCGAGGCCACGCGCAGCCCGTTGTCCAGCACGCTGACCTGCGTCTCAGGCACGTTGTGGAGCGCCTGGGCGAAGGTGGCAGCGCCCCGCAGGGCAGGAGCCCGCAGCAGGGCC